GCTGGGTGTTTGACACGGTTACCACAGATTCCCTCATTCGCTTCCGCCGTTTCTTAATGGCTTTGTGTGCCTGGACGAACATGCTAACTTTCCAGTTGAAGAAAAGGGAAATCCATGCCAAACCCAAGTAGATCCAAAGCTCAACAAAGTATCTGTAAAGGATGTGGTAGTTGGCATTTGGGTCTACACCTATGGAACAAGAATATGATTAAAGGTCATTCTGCAGCTACTAAACTGAAACACAAGAATAAATGTTGCAAATGAGACAAACTGAAGAACGTTATTTATGCAATTCTAATGATGCAAATTGTTTTATTTCATTTATACCAGTATCAAATTATTTTGTTCTTCACATCTTTCTGGTACCCAAATCTGGAGGGTCACAAATAAAAAGGTTGAACAGCCTCAAAGACGCCACCAATATCTCTGGTTAGTGGGGAACAAAGAGGCAGATAGGAACACCCTGATAATTACTCTCCTCCACCTCTTCTCTACAACAAGAGATCTCAGAATCAGGAAGTAGTGAAGAAGGGAATGAGGAAGTGGAGAAAGGTTTTCGAGAAGTCACACCACTATCTCACGCAACTGAACATGTCTCAGGAAGACCTCAGGCGGAAATTGTTTCACTCGGCTCCTATTAGCTAGGATAAAGCAAAATCCAAGTTGAAACTGGACGAGTAGAGTGGATTTCCTCTCGACAGCCATACTGACCTTCTCACTCAGTGACCCTACCCCAGTGCCGAATCGAGACTCCCATGCTCCCACCAACCTCATCTATGTGACAGAATATGTTGCATGCCTGTCATAGTGAAGCAGTGAAAAACCTCAGGTGATCAATTTCAGGAATTGGGTCTGGGGTCCTCTTTGCCTCATCTTTCTTGGCTCTGTAGGGATGACCTGTATCTGGCTATGTAAGGTGACCTGTATCTGACCACACTAAGTGGTCCATGCCTGCGTACAAGATGGCAGACAGAAGCTAAGCAAAACTAAGCAGCCTGCTCACACAGTGAAGTACAATGGTACCTTCGAACAGAACCACTAGAAGGCTAGTAAAACATAGAAACATAGAACATAGAACAGTAAAGCACAGTACAGGCCCTTCGGCCCACCCTCCATGTGTCCCCATCCGAGGCAGTTCTGTTAAAAGGATGCCTTAGGACAGATAAATGACCAACTCCGGCTTTATTAATGAAAGAACGATTGACCCAGTAAATGAATTAACATTAGGCGTTAGATTAAGTCCTTAAGCAGCTGCAAGGATAACAGCTGAAGTTATTTCGTAGTAAATAGTTGCCTCTTTGAAGCTACCTACAATATTAAACAATTTCAGGCCAAAAATGCTCTAATCATAGAAGTTGGTTTCAATACATAACGCGAATATAATACAAGCCTTAAAAAACATTTAAATGTAAAGGTAAATCTAGATGTAAAGGTTAATTAGCCTTAGGCTTAGTTACAACTAACTGACTTTTTGTTTTTCCATTATGTAATTGGGACAGTGGGAAAATAAAAGGAGTAACTGAATTTGATGAGAGACAACACCAAACACAATGGGTAATAGAATTCCAGCTGTCCTTACAGATAAATAAGCCCGAGAAAGACCCGAAGGAATATGGCCATTAAATGTTTGCAATGCAAATGAATAAAATGAATGGAAAGATCCCAAGGACCAGAGATTACAATGTCTAGCTAACACAATAAGATGATGGGAACCTGGGGCTGTACATTGAAGCGCCAATTATTGATTAGGTGCCCCACGGGATTGGGTGTTTGGATTAAGGGGGAAGGACAGGGAATATATTGTGTTACAATAATCAAACACAAAATGTATAAAAGTGCTGTATTTCTTTGTAAAAGCAGAGCATGTGTCATTGATCTATCCTCCAAAGGAGGATTCGGGGAAGATCCTTTGGCTCTCTCCCTACATAAACCGGTTTTGGCTTGAATAAACATCTCCCACTTGCCTGAATCCTGCCTGCCTCCTGAGTCTTTGTCCCTGGTCGGGAAAAACTCTCCTACAGCTCTTTACCTTGGGACTTCTATTGATCATCATAGAGAAAAATCGCTGTTCTCCTCCCCTCCACACTGTGCGGCTAAAGCCACATGCTGGATAGTGGGAGAGTAAGGAGTTGGTTAGATTGTACATCTAGCATACATCCCTTTCTGGAGAGGGATGCTGGGGCAGTGTAGGACAGAATACTATTTTTGCCTCTCTTTTTCAGTTCCAAAACATGTGTACGTTGAGCGTGTGGCCAATTAAATAGATACTGTCAACAGCAGTTCATCCAGACAATTCTTCTACAAAACAAAAGTAACTCAGGACACTCAGAAGAGTCAAGTACGACAGCATTTTTGCTTCAATGGGACTGGAGTACAGTGATACTGCTTGTAGTGAATAGTCTATCCTTTATAGCTCTGTCTCGTTTGCAGGATTCTGATCTGGAATATCAGTGTGTTCGGAGCAGGGAATCTTTGAAGTCTCTTGCACTCTGGTATTGGACTGCTGCTGAAGTTCACAGTTAATTAAACAAATTGGTGTCGCAGTCTGCTTTAAACATGTGCACCTTATGGGTTGCGGTGACAGAGGGGTACCCTTGCAACATGCAATGCAAAACAGACATCTATGATCAAAATGTCTTCATACTCCAGTATCATCCCCATTTCAAACATCACATTTACATGATGCAAAAGCAGACCTCATGCCCATCAATCCAATAGGAGACAAACTATTCAGAACTGCATCCTTACCTGCCACGAAATCTCCAAACCCAATGGTGGATATTGTGATGAAAGAGTAGTACAAGCCTTCAATGTATGACCAGCCTTCAGTCACCATAAAGACAAAGGGTGGCATTACCAGATGCACCAGGACACCCCATACAATGAAAATAGCTGTGCAGGTTATCTGGGCCTTCCGCTATTAAAGGAAAGGATGGAACACATTAGGGCAAGAACAGAGAGACAGCACAGAATACACAAAAAGCAGCAGCTGTTACCTTCAGAATGCTTCAACATGGTTACATTCCTTATAAACACACCTCTACCTTTTAATTTCCAATTTCAACTAATGGGTTCATGTCAAAAAAGCCAATAGTATGTCATTTACTATAAACAAAATCCAATTAGCTAGAAATATAGCAGTTCCACAGGCACAGTATCTTAAAATTAAAATCTTATTTAACCTCTGCGTTTAGTTTAATTATTATTTAATCCTTGTTTATAAGTGCTATTTGATGGTGCTAAATAGAGTAGCGTTTTTAGTTATGGCTCAGTTTATAGCACATTTGTCTCAAGTTAGGAGATTGTGGGTTCCTCTTCAGAGACACGAGGACATCATGTAGTCTGAGTCTCTGGTGTAGTTCTGAGGGGCACTACACTGTCGGCCGTGCTGACTTCCTGATGAGATCAGAAGCCAAGGACTGCCCGCAGTCCGAGGTGGATATAAAAGGAAGGTACTGTCTGGAGAATGGCAGGGAAGCTCCGCCTCGTAATCCTGACCAACCATTTATCCATCAACTAGCATCATTAAAACAGATGATCTGGTTATAACCTCAATTGCTGTCTGTGAGATCTTGCTATGTGCATCATTGGGAGCACATTAAAACAGACCAGACACAAAAATTAATTCACTGGCTGCAAAGCATTTCGAGAAACCTTCCAGGCCACAGAGGACACTATGGCAATGCAAGCATTTCTTCCCAGTCAAATTCTGTTCACACAAACGGAACACTGAAGAAGATCAAAAGGATAGTGATGAAGAGAGAGAAAACCTAGCAGTATTTTGGAAAAATGTAAGTAGCTCTTTTCACAGGTCTGTGTGGCTCAGTATCATGCAGTAAGGCTTTTTTTAAATCTCAGTCCCTTCAGGAATGCACTGTACACACCAATTAAAAGCAAAACACTACGCACGTCGGAAATCTGAAACGAACACAAAATGCTGGAGGACTTCAGCAAAGTCTGGTAGCATCTGTGGAGACAGAGTTTACTCAAGTTCTGAAGAGTCCTGTCAGAATTGAAACGTTAACTCTGTTTCATTCTCCACAGATACTGCCAGACCTGCGCAGTTTCACCAGCATTTTGTGCGTGTTTGGTTTTGGCATATACATCGAACTGACTCGGAACCTTCGCATTACTCCTGCGGAAAGCAGCTTGGAATTTCAAGAGCCCAGAACAACGATCCGCCTGGTTTAGAAGGTGCAATGAAACGTGCAATGTTTGTGACAAACAGAAAAAAAAGGGGCTTTTTAAAATAAGAGAGAGAGAAGTGAAGCAAGTATGCTTACTGGACTCATGCCTTTCCTGGTCAAGGCTTCACCCAACTTCTTAGCTCGTCCTCCAAAAAACTTCCCCAACGCACTGATCCAGGAGAGGCAGAGCGGTGTACCAAACAGCCCATAGAAGATGCAGAATAGCCGGCCCTGTGAAGTCTTGGGTGCAATGTTTCCATATCCTGTGACCACATGCGAAGGAAGCAGAGGAGAGAAATTATATGTATTTAAAAAAAAGACAAAGTGGGGTCACGTCCAGAGAGTCTGACCACGCATCGGTGACGCGCCTTACCGATTGTGGTGATGACTGTTGCAGCAAAAATAACCGCATTCGGCCAGTTCCAGTTGTTGAAGGTCCTATTGCCGGTGATGGTGACACCTTGTCCTGCAGCCTCTTCGACAGTCTGTAAAACACAAAGTGGGGGGAGGGGAAATTTAATAAAACCAGCTTAACTCTACAGCGCCCTCACAGATTCAGAAGCAATACAAACACAAACCTCTTCCTCAAAAGAGGATACAGGCATCCCCCCTTCCCTGCTGGGACAATGCAAGGAATTATTTTTACATTACAGTACACTCAAGGCACTTTACTGTCCTTAAGTGTTTCATTAGATTTACCACTCATTTATACGTCATTATGTCACTTTAAGTAAAAACAAAACACTCCAAGGAGGATGAATAGAAACGAACAACACAGTTGTAAGGGTTCGACCAGTTGTGTAGGTTGACCTCAGTCAAGGTGCTGTGACGGCACAATAATTGGTCTCAATGTAGAGGAGGAGGAAGGAAAATTTACTACACAGCCTTGTTTTTGGTATATACAGCAACACTGGTAAGAGAAATAGGCTGCATTCCCACAGGAGTGGATTATTGGCAGTCAACCTAAAAAGGAACAGGAGTAAATCATGCGTGTGGATTTAGGACAGGGCCAAGCAGGGATCCAAGGAGTATCACACAATTAATGATCTCTGCCCCATGACTATGTGCCAGAGGTTGCGTGGCAACTGTAGCACAGCAAAGGAGACAGGATCTTCATGACAGGGAGGAAGAAAATGAGAAAAGACTAGAGGGAAAAGCAAAATCAACAAGAGTTTGAAAATGGAAAAATGTAGGAAATAGAACCAAGTTACAGTAATGTTGAGAACGTCATCTTGATCAACATTGATTAAAACTACTACAGGTCATAAGCTGCATTTGTACGCAATAAATTTAGGCTTCGCCTGACGAAAAGGCACCGAAGTGGAATGGGGTAGTAAATCAAAGCTTAAGGTCAACAACAGGAGAAGGGGCCAGGATTCAAACACCATATTCTATTTTGATTATAATTATTGGGATGGGGGTAAAGGGACAGACAGGAAATTCAAAAATACAACGCTTAACTACAACTCAAATTTTATTCAACCAAGTACAGAAATGGCTACAGTGCCTGAACACAGAATTCACTCTGAAATGGCTGAAGCTCTTTACAGTGTTGAGAGTCAGTGGCATCAAGTTTCAATTTTCACACACGATAGGCAGACGGACGGATGTAACAACGTGGAGGAAATTACTAGTGCACTACAGCATCCCATAAATCTCCAAATCTCCTAATTGTTCAACACCATTTGCAACTCCTCCGATACTGAAGCAGTCCATGTTCAAATGCAACAATATCTGGACAATATCCAGTGTGGAGCTGGAGGAACACAGCAGGCCAGGCAGCATCAGAGGTGCAGGAAATCTGACGTTTCGGATCGAGACCCTTCTTCAGAAGCTTTCCTGCTCCTCTGATGCTGCCTGGCCTGCTGTGTTCCTCCAGCTCTCCACACTGTGTTATCGCTGACTTCAGCATCGGCAGTTCTTACTATCTCTGGATAAAATCCAGGCTTGGTTTGGCAAGTGGCAGGTGACATTCACGCCAAACAAATGCCAGGCAATGGCTATCTCCAATATGCCCCTGAACCTGGGCCTCCCAGTGCAGGGGTAAAATCCACTTGCTCTAGAAGTGTGTAACAACGTCTCTGAACAGGTCGATTAGAAAAATAAGGCTAACTAAAAATTTATGCAGTACGATTTCTGTGGCTCTTGTGGAAGTGATAGTGACCCAGGAGGCCCAGGTTCAAGCCCTACCAGAGGTGTATATTACATCTCTGAAAAGGTTGATTAGAAATTATCTGGTCATACCTTTCATGTCCTCATAACAAAAACATTACCTCAAAAGAGACAGAGAAAGAGAAAGGCACACAAAGTATATAATACAGGCAGAGGCACACCAATGCAGACTCAGCAGCATGCAAGACAAGTTTGTTTTTGTTTTTGAACTGGAATGATCACCAAGAATTCATATTAGAAATCATTTTCATCCGAATCAGTGGCAGTGCCAGTGGTACAACAATTCCAAAGAGCAAGAAAGACCATTAAATCTTGTCAGTTGACATCAGAGATTTAGTTGCATACGTTAGCAAGCAAAGCTCGAAAAAAACAGGAGGCTGCCTCATCTATCTGTGCAACTTTTAAACATTAATTTGGAATAGCAATTTGCTGCTAATTCAGCAGGTGATCATTAGAAAGTCAGCAAAACAATTTCGAAACTTGGCTCTTTGGGTGAACGTTTAGCTGACTTGAACAGTTGGTTGGCTCTGTCAGCTTTCCAACTGATCTCCTGTCGGTCTCCAGAAACCACAAAACATTTTACATTTAAGAGTACATTTAAGACTGAGATAGATAGGTTCTTGATTATCAAGGGCTACGGGGAGAAAGCAGGGGAATGGGGTTGAGGAACATATCAGCCATGATCGAATGGCGGAGCAGACTCGATGGGCCGAATGGCCTAATTTCTGGTCCTATGTCTTATGGTATGTTTTGAACACAGAAAAAGGACAACAACATATTCGAAAACAGTGGTCTGCTACCTATTTGAAACACTGATCCAGACCCCCTGCCTGCACTGGCACTCTACTCCCAACTCAACATGTCACCCCTGAATGCCAGGGTTGTGAAATTCACTCACTCCTTTGCCTATTGCAGTGAATTAAGAAAAATATTAAAATTTGGTCAGTGGAGACTATCACCACATGACGCTAGCCCACAAGGTGTAGGGGTGGACTGGCTTTGTGACTGGGTCTGCCTACAGCCCTCTAAGCCATTAGCTTGTAAACATCATAAAGGTCTCAAGTACAGTACATGACAGCGGGAGTAATCTGTCCTCCTGGATCTCTCTCTAGGGCAGTGGTGCCCAACCTTTTCACTGTCAAGGCACACTGCAATGAGACAAGCAATCCTGACAGCCCACCCAGTTCTTTCATACTGCATGTGGGATATCAGACATCTACGCAAGAACGGCTCTCGGGGCTTGTGCAGTCAATAGGGGTTCCTGGTGTCAGCAGGTACTGCCATCAATAACAGGCGCTGAGGCTGCAGAGGAGATCAGAAGCACAGATGTAGCCTCAACACTCAACACTGCTTCCCTAAAGCTTCATGGCACATGTCACACCTGGTCACAGAAAACTGCCAGTTGTAAACCACTGATCTAAGGAAGGAATCAATCAAAAGTATTAGCCCCCTTACTTTCACTTCCCCACCCCTCATGCCAAAAACTCCACCCACAAGCCAGCCCCCACAGAAACTTAACCAGCAGTCGAACCAAAGATCTGCCACTGAAACAAGATGGCAAAAGGGTGGCCCAGTGGTTAGCACTGCCGCCTCACAGCGCCAGGGACCTGGGTTCGATTCCAGCCTCGGGTGACTGTCTGTATGGAGTTTGCACATTCTCCCCGTGTCTGCGTGGGTTTCCAATTTTTGGCCATGCTAAATTGCCCGAAGTGACCAGGGATGTGCAGACTAGGTGAGTTAGCCACAGGACATGTGGGGTAAAGGGGCTGGGTCTAGGTGGGATGTTCTTCAGAGGGTTGGTGCAGACTCGATATGCCAAATGCCTTGCTTCCACACTGTACGGATTTTATGACATAACTGGGGCGAGGCTCTGTTTTGCTACATTATTACTGATTACTCTGATAACCCAGATGGTGGACAAACAAACAGCAACAGGGGGCCTAACCGGTTAACACTTTCCATACACTCCTGTTATCTCTTCCCAAACAATCATACACAATGCTGTTAGTCCCTTTCTATTAAGTATTGTGCACACTGGCCTGCAAATACCATATTTACACCGTGGTGTGACTGCAAAGTATTTAAAAGTTTGTACAGCGCAAACCACTTCGAAACGGTGTTTATTTTGGGAGTGTTAGAAAAATAATCTACTGATTACTTGACTTTAGCGAAGAATTTGAATGCAACCAATGCTTAGTGCATACCTCAAGCCTTCTGGAGATGTAAAGTGTACTGCAACATGTTGGCCAAGGATATTTTACAAACACTCAAGGCTAATTAAATGTAAATTTATTCAAATAAAAGACATGGCACTGCTGTCTATAAAGCACTAAAAAAGACAGAGACAAAGAGAGGTAGTGAGGTCAGGAGCGGTGTTCCTGCTAAGCTGAATGGATGTGTGGCATCTAAATGCACTAAACTGTGTCTAACAAGTTTAAAAAAAAATCCACAGGCCTAATCTTAGTTAAAGACAGAAAAGCTAAATTTTAAAAGAGAACATTATAGTCCAATATTTGAAGACACACCCTGTAAAATTAGCTTTTGGAGGAGTTACACACAATCTTATCAACAGAGGTAATTAGTGGAAATAAAGTGTACAAGATCCTTCACTGGAAAATGAAAGAAAACATTTTCTTCCAGGACTATCACTATCACAAGATCCACAGAGCTCAGCAAAATAGTTGATGATAATATTTTCCAATACAACTGAACCTCAAGCATCAAAAGTATCTGTTAAAAAATGGTTGCAAGACACATAAAATGAACCCAGGACATTGATTGCTGAAAGAAAGAATAGTTGCCATCCTAGGAGGGCCAATTTAAAAATAGGTCTGAAAGATCACTTCCGCCAAACCAACTTAGTGACTATAGTTAGTTACACTGCATTTTGTAACAATATAGTGGTATGACTCGAGTTTAAAAAATAACTACAGAACAAGAATGCGTGACTGACAAATATGACACATCCATTGTTGTTAATTAACCCAGCTTATAAACATAAAAGTGTACAGAAGGCTCTTCCTTTCCTCTCCATCTGTGGGTCTGCTTATCTACATGATAGCAGCTCGTACACACCATTTTGATTGGGAGAATCAGCACAAGAAAGGTTTACATTTGCAAGGAAGTGATGTGGCACAAGACATGGCTCAAATGGAAATCGCAACATTTGTTATTTTAAGGAAAGAAACAATTAAGAAAGGAGGTACATCCGATACAGTAATTGAATGACCATGGCTTTCAAACCTATTTGGTGCATTTAGAAATGCACCTATCTTAAAAAATATTGACCATATCCATACAAGCAGGCTTGATA